TTCCTTCCGAGGAGTGGCTGGTGGGTTTGAACCGCCAGCCTTCTGGTTAGCAGTCAAGTGCTTTAGCCACTATGCTACCAGAGCTCCTTTTTCTTTAGCCACTTGTAAAAAGGGCATGGGCCTACTTCTGATCTCCTCTAACTTCACAAGGGAGGAGGAGGAGGATCAAGATTAACATCAATAGCCTAAGGCTGATTCCTATGATTCCTATGAGGAGCGGTCAGACATGCTGCCACCCTCCAACCTTTTTTTTTTTTTTGGACTTTTACTGTGGTGAAAACATACACACCAAGACATTCACCAACATAACAACTTCCACAGTTACAGCTTAGGGACATTGATGACATTTTTCATGTTGTGCCACCATCCATCATTGCTATCCTTTTCCAAAATATTCCACCACCATTAGCATAAACTCAGTACCCTAAAAACAAAAGCATTCCCTTTCCCCCCCCCTTACCTCTGTCACCACTAATAATTTTTTTTCTCTCTTTTTTTTTTCCCCCTAACCTGTATAGGAATTTTCCCTTCCCTCCCCTCCAATCCTTGGTAACCAACAAAGAAAGTTTCCTGTCATATATAAATCTTTCCTTGACTTTTTATGATAGTGGACTGATACAATATTTGCCCTTCTGTAATTGACTTAATTCACTCAACATAATGCCCTCCGAGTTCATCCACTTTACGTGGTGTTTTGCAGATTCTACATTATTCTTTAGCATTGCATAGTACTCCATTGTGGGTATGTACTACAGTTTGTTTATCTATTTCTGCATTGATGGGCACTTAAGTTGTCTCTGTCTGTTTGCTGTTGTGAGTAGTGCTGTGATGAACATGGATGTTTATATATCTATTCGTGTCCTGGCTCTCACTTTTTTAGGATATATACCTAGTAATGGGATTGATGGATCAAATGGTATTTCTGTTTCCAACTTTTTAAGGAATCACCATACTGATTCCACAGTGGTTGGATTATTTTACAGTCCCACTAGCAGTGTATGAGAGTGACCCTGCTGGTACTAGAAATACTGTTGACATAGCTTCTAGCATCACAGCAACATGGAAGCCACCATAGTATGACAAACCGATGCTATATTATTTTAGGGAGAGCAGAATCATTGATACAGGAAACTTGAACAGGGAGAAAAGTTTCCAAGTTGCCTCATTAGCATTGTCTGCCTACAGAAAGAGGAATGATGGCCTTATTCACTCTGCTCCATAGCTCTGAAGGGTTGAAACAAGCAAGACAGAGGGAGAGGAATTAAAGATAATTGGAGGACAGTGAATGAGGGGGGCTAAGTTCGAAAGGTTTGAGGAAAGGAAAGAAAGGTTTGCCTAAGTTTCAGGTGATTCTAGATCTCTAGTTGGCTTGCCTTCTGAGTCTTACCCACCAATCTTAACAACAGAGATACGTTTAGAATATTTATGCTCAGTATTATGCTCAGCAAAGTACAGGGACACAGGTGTGAAAGGTTTTCTGCTTGGAAACATTTTACTATCCAGTTGAGTAGCATGAAATTAGAGGTAAGATATTATGGTATCCTCTCTAAGTCATAGGAGCTCTGGTGGCATAGTGCCTAAGGCATTTGATTGCTAACCAGAAGGCTGGCAGTTCAAACTCACCAGCCAATCCTTGGGAGGAAGGTTGGGTAATCTACTTCTGTAGAGATGCTGCCTTGGAAACCCAAGGAGGGGTTGCAATGAGTCAGATCCGAGTTGACGGCAGTGCGTTTGATTTGCTTTTTGATGTAAGTCATAGAATCAGGAGACGAGTAATTGCCAAGGGGTGGGGTAGTTTAGGAAGTCTTCCTGGAATGTGATCATATCCTGATAATTATTGGGCACCCAGGGTATACAAAGGTCTGTGCTGATGCTAGGAATGAGAAGTGAGTAAGTGACCATTCCTGCCCTGAGAAGCTTTTAATCTAAGGGAAATGGACAGTCCATTCCATTTGTAACAATGAAGGTGTGTACAAAATGCTATGGAAGCAGGAGGTGGGATGTTCCAGGTATACCTGGGTGAATTGGGAAAGAGGCATATGAGCTTGAAGGGTGAGTAGAAGTACTTAGAGAGTTTTAGAAGAATATAGTGTGTTTAGGGACAAGGATGATTGAATCAGAGAAGCAGCATGGTGTGGAAGAAAGAACATGATTTTTGTATTGGAATCTGAACACCCTTATACCAAATGAGATAAAGTGTGATGAGGGCTTATCACAGGGCTGACACATAGTATGCCCTTACATTACCTGTTAGCTTCCTTATCCAAACCCTGGAGAAGTAAGTGAAGTCTGTTTGAGAAGAACCTTGCATGTTATACTAAGTGGACTTGATCCCAAAGGTAGTAAGGAGTCAGAGAAAGTTTGGGATTTTCTTTCTAGCTTGGGAAGGGTTTCCCCACTTTTTCTAGCACAACATAATAAAAGTAGTTAATATTTTCTCCTCAGAGGACTTCACTGTTCTCTTAAGGGTACTTAGCAAGCCAGTACAAACCCCAGAGTGTCAAGGGTGACAAAGACTTTTCTCTAAGGAGGGGGAAAGCTAAGGATTAAAGAGAGGTTTCTATGATCATCACTTCAGTAGAGTCAGTTCAAAAGCCTGTACTTAGAGGCATGATGGATATTACACTTGTTGTATTTCTGGCTTTTCTTGTTTTTCCTTTCAGTATTTAGTAAAAGCCTTTTTCAGAGTTCCTATCTGTCTTACATAGGTCAAAAGGAGCAGTGTCCAACCCTCTTCCAGGGTTCACCATGGTAGGGGTAGCAGGAGTCAGTCAGACTCCCCAAGGAGAAGCTGATAGGGGATAGAGTTAAGACCTCTTAGTGTCCCCACTCTCCCCCAACCAGAACTTTTGCTTGCAGTCATTCTCTGCTGCGCTTGCTATTTTGTTTTAGTGAGGGAAATGCTTCTTTTATTTCAGTGTTCCTCAAAGTGTGCTCTTGGAACTCCCTGCATCAGAACTGCCTAGGAGTTGAGTTAAGAGGACAGATTTCCAGGCTTAACCTTAGCCTTCCTCAGTCAAGCTCTCTAGGGAAGGGGGTGCAGAAATTGGCTTTTGTATGCATATTAAAAATTGGGACCCTTTAATTTTTCATTCAGCTTTCTTCCACAAATGTTTCCTGCATGTTAAGCATGCCTCCTAGCACTGTCTATGCATCAGAGGTACTGTATAAGGTAGACAGATAAGGCCTTTGCATTCATCAAAGGGAATCTACATTTTTATTCAGAGAGTTTTAGAGGAGTGGTGGAATAAACAACTGTACAGGTAAGGCAAAGACTGACTGACTGTTGGCACTTTGGCAATTTGGCAGGGGAGTTAGGCCACGATGCAGTGAGAAATAAGGGAACTCTGGGCTCACATGCAGGCTATGTAGAGTAGAAAGAATATGGACTTTGGATTCAGCTAGACCAGACCCTGCTATACTGCTAGTGTGTGGCCTTAGGAAGGTTGCTTAACATTTTTGAGTTTCAAATCCTCATCTATAAATGTGGTGAAAAATAATACCTGCCTCATAAGGTTTATGCTGGTAATTAAATGACATAATGTAAGCAAGGTGCTGAGTATGGTGCTTGGCATATAATAAATGTATAATTAAAAACATAATGTACTGTTATCCCTATTTTTGAAGATGAGAGAGTTCAGGAGTAGAAGGGTTGTTAATTTGCCAAGTCACACAATTAGTAGGTGGTGGACAGTGGAGTCTGGATTTCAACTGTGGTTTCTCTCCAAAGCCATCTCTTTGAACCTCAGCACTGTATTTGCCTCCTATAGGAGTAATTCCTTCTTGATGGGGTTGCTCTGAAGCTTAATGAAAAAGATGTGTTAAAGTGCTTAGCTCTGTGTCTGGCACATGTTTAATAATGTTAGTTTTTGTTCTCCCTTCCTGGGAACACCAGACAGTTTCCAGGGGTCTGAAGACCTGCAACTCCACCCTTACGGAAAAAGCACAGGGTTCTTACGGGTTGCTAGACAAACACCTGCTGGTTGTAGCAGGATGCCTTCCCAGCTGTTTACCCCTAGCTGGACTTTGGTGGAATCCTTCAGCTGTGAATTTCTTCCTCTCTCTCTAGGGTGAAAGCCATGCCGCCCCCCGGGAAGGTTCCCAAAAAGGAGAACCTGGGACTACAGTGTGAGTGGGGGTCGTGCTCCTTTGTGTGCTCGGCCATGGAGGAGTTCTGTGAGCATGTCACTCAACACCTGCAGCAGCACCTGCACAGCTCTGAGGAGGATGATGAAGAGGAAGAGGACCCCCTTGGTAAGGGAACAGAAACGGGAAAGGGGAAAAGCTGACATCCTTTCCCAGAGTGAGCAGAGTAAGAGGGGATCCTAGGATAATAGTAGTAGTTTATTTTCCTGCTTGTGTTTTTTTGTTGTTGTTTATGAAAACATTGTAGACTTGTAGAAAACTCAAGTCAAGAAGGATATAAGGAATGAACCTGGCATCCTATCAACAACAGGCAATTACTAACAATACTTTTGAACCAAAAAAACAAACGTAACTCATTGCCATTGAGTCAATTCTAATTCATAGCAACCCTTGTTGGTTTTCCAAGGCTCTAAATCTTTATGGAAGCAGACTGCCTCATCTTTCTTTTGCAGAGCAGTTAGTGAGTTCCAACCACCAACCTTTTGGTTAGTAGCCAAATGCCTTAGCCACTACACCACCAGAGCTCCTAACAATACTTCAGTGAACGTTACTATTTCTTTTTAATGCATTTTATTGAAATATAATTTATGTACAGTGAAATACACAAAACTAAAATGACATGGGTCAGTACATTTTTTTTTCCCCGGTGTTCCCTCCCCTCCCTTCCCACACCTGGCAACCAACAAAGAAAGTTTCCCTCCACATATAAACCTTTCCTTGACCCTCCACACAATGAACTAATATTTGTCCTTCTGTGATTGACTTATTTCACTCAGCATAATGTCCTCCAAGTTCATCCATATTATGTGGTGTTTTGCAGACTCTACATTATTCTTTTGTGTGTGTGTGTGTGATTTGGGTGAAAATTTACAGAGCAAATTCATTTTCCACACAGCAGTTCACATACACATTGTCTCATGACATTGACATCATTTACCCCAATGCAACAGCTCCCCTCCCACTTTCTCCCGATAGTTACCTCTTCCCTGTGCATAAACAGCCTTTCTTTCTCCCATGATTGTTCTCTCCAAGGAGTATATCTACCTAAAGTACACGTTCAACTCTTATGCCTATCTTTTGTTTGGCAGGAAGCCACAGATGTGGGTTTAATTCCAGACCTGAAGGGCAGCTAGGGACCATAGTCTCAGTGGTTCTACCAGGCTCTGTCAGACCAGCAAACCTGGTCCTCCCCCTTTTTCTTTCCCCCAAATGATTTTGAGTTTTGTTCTACATTGTTCTCCCTCTCTATCCAGGATCTCTTACATAGATCCCCCTCCGAGTGATTGACAATGGTAGCCAGGCACCATCTAGTTCTTCTGGTCTCATAGTCGTATAGGCTGAGGATTAGTTGTGAGGGCTAATTGTTTCCATGAATATTTGGTTTTCTTCATTCTTTGCTCTGGATGAGGAGAGACCCGTTGTTGCACCTAGATGGCTGCTTACAAGCATTTAAGATCCCAGTCTGCAAAAAGGGCATGTTCTGACCTCCTCTAATCCCACAAGAGGAAGACAGAATCACCATCAATAGCCCAAGGGCTCTTCCTGCCAGGCCAGACATGCTGCCTCCCTCCAGCCCTTTCACCAACCGTTCCTCCCAAAGCACCCATCACCTCTCTCTTGGGTTCGATAATTTGCTGCAGTGGCACACAGAACTCGCAGATTATGGAGTTTATTAGGGAAGCACCAGGCTACAATTCAAGTTCAGAAAAAACGCTTAGTCTCTCTCCCAGCCCACCGTCTCTCAGCCAAGTCTCTCACAGTCTCTCCCCCAGCAGTGCATGTCCCTCGGTGTCTTACTCAGCAACGCGTGTCTCTTGCATCTCTTTCCCAGCAGCACGTGTCTCTTTCAGTAGCGCGTGTCTCTTTCAGCAGCATGTCTTCCTCAACCAGCAGTCAGAGAGAGACCTAGAGGTCTCTTTTTGAGCCTGGCAGAGTGGCCAAACCAACCAATCATAGCATCAGAATCCTAAACACCTAAGAGAGAGTGGGAACCTCCCAGAACATTGTTTTGTGCTACGCCCAACAGAACTACTCCAGGTGGACAACTTCAGCAATCAGGAGCTCCTCAGTTGCTCATAGCAAATCCCACCTTGGAGTTTACAAAGACTTACTGCTGGAAAAGCCACACTAAGTAATTTACTACACCGCACAGTCGCTACTCGCCAAAGTAGAAGGTGGAACAATGTTTTGTGCAGTATGTTATGCCAGTTGAGCTTGATGTCCCCTGCAATTATGGTCCCGATCCTACAGGTTCAACTACTTGCTCCCTCTGGGTAGCTGGATTCTACATTATTGTTTAGTGTTACATAGCATTCCATTATGTGTATGTACCATAGTTTGGTCATCCACTCTTCCATTGATGGGCATATAGGTTGTTTCCATCTTTTTGCTATTGTAAATAGTGCTGCAGTGAACATGAGTGTGCATATATCTGTTCCTGTCCTGGCTCTCACCTTTCTTGTTGTTGTTGTTGTTGTTATGTGCCGTCGAGTCAAACCCGACTCATAGCGACCCCTCCTTGGGTTTCTGAGGCAGTATCACTACGGAAGTAGGATTGCCCAACCTTCCTTCCGAGGAGTGGCTGGTGGGTTTGAACCGCCAGCTGCCTCACCTCTCTAGGATATATATATATGTAGTAATGGGATTGCTGGGTCAAATGGTATCTCCAATTCCACCTTTCTAAGGAATTGCTATATTGCCTTCCACAGTGGTCATATCACTTCACAGTCCCACCAGCAGTGTATGAGAGTCCCAATCTCTCCACATCCCCACCAGCATTTGTTATTTTCTGTTTTGTTGAACCTTGCCATCAGTGCTGGGGTGAGATGGTATCTCATTGTTGTTTTGATTTGCATCTCTCTGATGGCCAATGATTGTGAGCATCTCTTCATGTATTAGCTGGCCACCTGAATATCCTCCTTGGTGAAGTAAGTGTCTATTCATGTTTTCTGCCCATTTTTCAGTTGGATTATTAATTCCTTTGGTGTTGAAGCATTGGAGTTTTCTATAATCTTAGAGATAAGTCCCTTGCCAGATAAGTAATTATTGGCAAATATGAATTTGTTGCTCTCACTTTTGTTATGTGCTTTTTCGTGATTTCTTTGTTCCATATAATTTTCTATGCTGACCTCATTTTGTTTATGAATTGTGTTATCACTTCCTTTGTTGCTATTGTTTTAGTATTTGCTAAATATTTGTGCTAGTCCTTTTTTTATTTTGATGTGAAGGTTTATCATTTTTCTTTGAGGTTACCCTGTGATTTATAGTTTCTTTCCCAAGTTTAGAACAGTCCATTCTATCTTGTAGTTGTCTTGACATCCCTACCATCTAGAAGTTCTATAATGACACAGTTTTTTCCCTATTTTTGGTTTGTAGTTGTCCTCATTTGTCAATTGATGTATCTGGCTCCCTGTTTACAATGTTGTAGGCTTCTTTACTTTGGATACTTCCATAGCTGGGTTAGTTTCTGGGTTATGTCATCATGTATGTTAATGGTCAGTAGTTGTTGGCTGCTGTTGCTTCTCTGTCCAAAGGACTCCCTTTAGTATCTCTTGTAAGGTTGGTCTGGTTTTAACAAATTCTCTTAATTTCTGCTGGTCTGGAAATGTCCTAATTTCACCATCATATTTAAGGGACAATTTTGCTGGATACATAATTCTTGGTTAGAAATTTTTCTCTTTCAGGATTTTGTATATACCATCCCATTGTCTTCTCACTTGCATGGTTTCTGCCAAGAAATCCAAGCTTAGTCTTACTGGTTGTCCTTTGTAGATAACTTTTTGTTTTTCCTTTGTTGCTCCCAGGATTCTTTCTTTGTCTTTGGTTTTGGTGAGTTTGATGATGATATGTCTTGGTGATTTTCTTTTGGGGGTCTATCCTGTTTGGGGTTCGTTGGACTTCTTAATGGATATATTCTCATCTTTCATCATATCAGGGAAGTTCTCTTTCAACAAATCTTAGACAATTTTCTCAGTGGTTTTATTTTTCTCTTCCTGTTCTGGAATTCCAATAAACATAGGTTATTCCTTTTGATGGTAACCCACGTGAACGTTAGGATTTCTTCATTTTGTTTTGATCTTTTTTCTGACTGATCCCTTTCCAAAGAAGTATTCAGGTATTTGTCTTCAATCTCATTAATTCTGTCTTCCATTGCATCAATTCTACTCCTTTGCCCTTTCAATATGTTATCTATTTCTGACAATTTAGTACTAATTTTCTGGATTTTTGTCTGTAGATTTTGAATCATTTCTAATTTTTCATTTATTTTGTCATTTTGTTCTTGATTTTTTTTCTGAAATTGTTCTAGGGTTTTGTCTGTGTTTTCCTTGATCCATCTCTCAATTCTTTGAGGATACCTAAATATAATTCTTTTGGATTACTTATCAGGAAGTTCCAATGCTGCATCTTCCTCAGGGATGTGTTTCGGGTCTGTATCCTGGTCTCTTGTTTTTCCTGGTTTATCTTGTTTCTTTGTGTGGACTGTGATGCTCTGTTGTCTCTGAGGCATTGTGATGTTTTTGTGTTTATATTTAATTGGTGATTGTATGTTGGAGTGACTTGCCCACTGTTTTTGTTTTCTTTGTGTGTTATCTACGCAAGCAGGGTACTGTGCTGTGCTCCTCTATTCACTAGTTGATAGCACTTATACACTCACCACCTGTCTCCTTTCCTGTTTTCAGCCTCTTATATGTCCCTGCCAACCTTGGCAAACAGAGCCTATTCTTAGGTCCCTGATACCTGAATGAGAATGCTATCAGTTTAAAATTCAAAATAGTTGCCACTTGTAAACATTCAAAATGGCTGTACCCTTGGTTCCTTTAAATATCCAAAATGGCTGCCACTTATAAACATTCAAAATGGCTTCACCCTCAATCACTTTAAATATCCAAAATGGCTGCCACATGTGAACAATCAAAACGGCTGTGCCCTCTGGAAAGTCAACAGCTCAGGTCGTTTTCCCCCTTGCTGTTTCCCTTCCTAGTCATAGGCCACCAGTGCAGTAGTCCCCGCAGCCCTTGGTGACCAGGACTGATCTTTAGGTCAATTCTCAGGTCCAACACCACTTGGAAATATTCAGGCTGTTGATCCCGTCAGAGTAGCTGATAGTCTGCAGCTCTGACTGTCTCTGTACTCACTGTTTTCGTTCAGGTTTTCCACTAGTTGGTGCCTAATCCACTTCTGTATAGCTCCTTTCAAAACTCAGGGCTCCAGGATTATCTTCTGTATCTCTTGTCAATTGGTTTTTCTTTTATTTGTTGAAGAGGATCTGTGTCACTTGTCTGCCTATTCCTCCATCTTCACTATTTTTTTTTTTTTTTAATTGTGATTGGGTGAAAGTTTACAGAACAAACTGGTTCTCCATTCAGCAGTTCATACACATTTTGTTTTGTGACATTGATTGCAGTCTCCACAGTGTAACAGCACTCTCACTCTTCCCACTTTGTCCCTGTGTTTACCCATTCCCTTCATCCTTCTTTCCTATTCTTTCTTGCCTTCTGAGCTTTATCCTTGGGCATGCTGCCCTTCTGATTTCGTATGGTTGATTATTCTAATGAGTGCACGTCTACTAGGTGCTATTGTTCACCTTGTAGGCTTGTCTGTTTGGCAGAAAGTTGAGCCACAAGGGTGAGTTAAGTTCCAGGCTTAAAGGGTATCTAAGGGTCGTAGTCTTGGGATAGTGAACATTATTTTTGCTCTCTTTCTGCATGTGTATACTTACATAAAATATGGATAATATTTTATTTTAACTGTGACGTTGGTTAGAAATATATCTTACATCATGACCTTGTATGCAAAAGTGAAAGAAAAAATACTTGAAACAATACATATTACATGCTCTTTGAGATAATTCTATTCTCTTTGATTTAAAAAAAAAAAAAAAAAAGTGTTTTGAAGTACACTGAATTGATTTCACCAGCCTCGAATAGGGTCACAATCCACAGTCAGAGAAACACTGCGCTATAGGAAGTATAAAAGTAGCTTTCCTTCCCCCACCCTCAATGCTATTTTAAGTCTAATGAATATGAATTGTAACAGTTTCAAAAGTCAAATAATGTTTATACAAAAGAGAAATTATTATATTTTTTAAAAGTACTTACTTTTCAAAACAGGCTAATTCCTGTAAAACACTGAAAATATTGTGCCTGCAGAAGAGTGCTAGAGAGAAAAGAAGTGGATTAGATGAGACCTACCTGGGAAGGGCATATCTTGAGTAGAAGAATATGGATGAAAGCAGAATTTGTGGTTTCATAGGGAGGAATGGGAAGTGTCTTCTTTAGGGAATAGTAGAAATTCTGAACCTGAGGTGTTGCATGCATCTGCCAGCTCAGAGTTCCTGCTGCTGGGCCTTTGCACACACTCACCTCTGCCTGGACCACACTCCTTCACCTTGTTTACAACTGCTCATCCTTCAGATCACAACACAAGGACAGTTTGTGACTTTAGTGAACATCTTTTTTGATATCTCTGTGTGTGTGTTTGTGTAGGGGGGTATGATCATATTACCTCTTGTTTAATAGTTTTATAGCACCATATACTCCCCACTCTTCATAGCACTGGGTATAGTTTTATATTTATTAATATGATTATTTGGTTGATCTACTTTCTCCCTGACTGAAAGCTACTTGAGGGCAAGAAATGGGATTCTTTCTTGTAATTGTTAAAGCCCCAGTGCCTGGTACATCATTAAATACTTGCATCTGCTGAATGAAGGCCTAGAAATTTGGTTGGAGTCAGGCCTTCTCACTCCCTGCTGAGTTGCAGGTAGAAGAAAAGCTGAAAGTATCAAGCTCTTCCTTCTCAACATTTTTCTGCAGAGGATGAATTCTCCTGCTTGTGGCAGGAATGTGGCTTTTGTTCTCTGGACAGTTCTGCTGACCTCATCCGCCACGTCTACTTCCACTGCTACCACACCAAGCTGAAACAGTGGGGGCTGCAGGCCTTGCAAAGCCAGGCTGACCTCAGCCCCTGCATCCTGGACTTCCAGAGCCGGAATGTCATCCCTGACATCCCTGACAACTTCCTGTGTCTCTGGGAGCACTGTGAGGTCAGCAAGCAGTGCCAGTAATAGGGGTGGAGATTAGAGATTTTGCCTCAGAATTCCTGAACCCTTTTGGTGGGGATGCCTTACATTTCCAAGAGTCCTGCTAGAGCCCAGCCCCTCTATTTCACTGTAACTCCCTCCCTCAGACATTCCCATCCCCACCAAGTTAATTTGAGAGACAGCTGAAAAGTCGCATTAGACACAAAGGGATGGGTCTCTCCAGCTACCCTCAGTCCTTACCCCAAGTTGCCCTGGCACAGAGTTCCTTCGACAATCCTGAGTGGTTCTATCGGCATGTGGAAGCACACAGCCTGTGCTGTGAATACCAGGCCGTTGGCAAGGACAACCATGTGGTGCTGTGTGGCTGGAAAGGTAGGGCCATTCTTTAACTTCTGGCCTCTGGAGGAAACCTTGGGGTGCTAAGGGGCTAGGGCTGCCAAAGATGAGACCAGTTTGAAGGGCAAAGTTAGCTGCTGGCTGGGAAGACTTTGGGGGCACCAGAGCCTACTCTAGGGGTTTGTAGCTGAAATCTGACAGCCTTCTTTGCCAGGGTGTTCCTGCACCTTCAAGGACCGCTGTAAGCTTCGAGAGCACCTCCGTAGCCATACCCAGGAGAAGGTGGTGGCCTGTCCCACATGTGGAGGCATGTTTGCCAACAACACAAAGTTCTTAGATCACATTCGTCGTCAGACCTCATTGGATCGTAAGTAATCAGAGAAGAAGCCAGATGGTTGCAGACTGTCCTGCTTGGGGTGGGGTTGGGAACATGTTCCCAGGGGAGGTAGTCACTGAAGGTATCTGCCATTTTGCTGCATCTCCTGTTAAGGCTCAGGCATCTCCCACAGTCTGTCTGCTGATTCAGATTCACTGAATATTTGCATTCAGTACCTGCTGTGTGCCATATTATCTCAGTTAATCTTTACAACAGTCCCATGAGGTACGTTTCTTATCCTCAGTTTTGCAGGTGAGGAAACTGAGGCTCAGAGAGGTTAAGTCACTTATCTGAGATCACACAGCTAGTAAGTGCTGAAGCAGGAATTCCAGCTCAGGTTCTTCAGTCCAAGTCCCATGCCCTTTCCATAAATTTTTGTCCATCCATAGCAGTCTAACCTCCCTTTTTCTTCCCGGGTGGTTCTTCTGCCTAGAGTGGTTGCCCGCTCCCTGGCTCTCTCTTCTTTCTCTGTCTCTCCACCGTCCCCCACAGCTCACCTTTTCTTCTGCCTGCCCCACCCCAGAGCAACGCTTCCAGTGCTCTCACTGTTCCAAGAGATTTGCCACAGAACGGCTGTTGCGAGACCACATGCGTAATCATGGTGAGTGTCTTGCCACCCTGTCCTCTCTCTGCCCACCCTCCATGGTTCCATTAGCCCTGCAAGCACAGCTTCCTCTCTGCTCCTCAGTGAATCACTATAAGTGCCCTCTGTGTGACATGACCTGCCCGCTGCCTTCCTCCCTCCGCAACCATATGCGCTTTCGCCACAGTGAGGACCGGCCCTTTAAATGTGACTATTGTGACTACAGGTAAGGGGAACCAGAGGCCAGGAACTACAGAGAGCTTGTGTTCCAAGGTCCCCCATGCCCTCCAACTCCTCCTGTCCTCTTCTGGCAGCTGCAAGAACCTTATTGACCTCCGGAAGCACCTAGATACCCATAGCAAGGAGCCAGCCTACAGGTGTGATTTTGAGAACTGCAGTTTCAGTGCCCGATCCCTCTGTTCCATCAAGTCCCATTTCCGCAAAGTACATGAAGTGAGTGGGGGCTAGGTGAAAGGGAAGGGCTAGCAGAAGTGTAGGGAAGCCCAGGGTGAAGAGTTGCCCTCACCTTTCCTTTCTTCTTCCCACCAGGGAGACTCAGAGCCAAGGTACAAATGCCATGTGTGTGACAAATGCTTCACACGGGGCAACAACCTTACTGTGCACCTTCGCAAGAAGCACCAGTTCAAGTGGCCCTCAGGGCACCCCCGTTTTCGGTATGTGTCTCAGCCCTTCCCCTCCCCGAGTTCACACACATTTTCTCCCATTTCTTTTCAACAAGTCAGAAACATTACATTTGATAACGCTTTGATGTCTACTGTCTCCATTTAGACTCAACCCTGAATGTATTGGTACGGCAAAGATTATTTTTCTGATGTTTGAACCCAAGGCACTAAAAAGAAGTGGTGCTAAAAGTGCAGCCAGAACTAGAAATAGAACTAGAACTTGATGCTTAGCTCCATGGCCTTGTCATAATCCTTCAAACCCCCACCCCATAACACACACAACACACAGTCATTTTGATTTGGGTTCCTACATAGAAGCTTCCATTTTGATTAATGTTCTTTCTCTCTTATCTTCTGCATATTCAGTAAAAACCTTTTTTGTCTTCAGCTCCCATCACTTAGTCACCCAGAAATAGAGCTGAATAATTAGGTTTGTTCCCTTTTCAGTGATTGGGGTTTTTTGTTTTGTTTTGAACTGTCTTCTTGATCCGTACTCCTCTTTTGCTGTGACTTCATGTCTTCTCAGACATTGCTTAGAATCCCAGGACCTGTTCCATCCCTCATTTTTGTCCTTTACCTTGCCAAACTCCAGGCCATTCCAGCATCCCTTTGCCCATGTTTGCTGCCCTTTGTGCTCCTACTTCACCAGGTACAAGGAGCATGAAGATGGCTACATGCGGCTGCAGCTGGTTCGCTATGAGAGTGTAGAGCTGACACAGCAACTGCTGCGGCAGCCACAAGAGGGACCGGGCCTGGGAGCTTCGCTGAATGAGAGCAGCCTGCAGGGCATCCTTCTAGAAACAGTGCCAGGGGAACTAGGACCTAAGGAAGAGGCTGAAGAGGAAGAGGAGGATGAGGGTGGTGAGGGGACACCCCTCTCAGCCCCTCAGGACACCCTCAGCCCTGTCATCCACGTGGTAAATCAGACCAGTGCCCAAGGCCAGCGAGAGATAGTCTACTATGTGCTATCTGAAGTCCCAGGAGAGCCTCCCCCTTCCACTGAACCACTCGCTGAGGGCATCATGGAAAATCTTCAGGGAACAGCTGAGGAATATAAGGTCCAGATAATGTGAAGGCTGCAAAGCCTGACCATTCTGACCTCAGGCCCTGAGCTTTGAGTCGTGCTAGTGGCAGCATCTAGTGGGCAGCCCTCATTAGTGGATGCCTCTAGGAGTGGTGCTGAAACAGTGAGCTTCCACTCTGGACCAGGCTTGAATCATTCTGATGACTAAGGACTTCTCTGCCTCCAGACCACATCTTATGGGGATCCTGAGGAGTGTGGATTCTATAAGGGGGGCATCATGAATGGGGGGATATTATCAGGCTTATCTGTAAACCCCCTAGACATTCTGGACTGTGATCAAAATCCTTAGTGAACCCACATTCATTCCCATGTTTAGGGGTCCTTAGGCCCAGGGTGACTTGTAACTGTCCCCTACAAGGGCCCTTTGTTTGCAACAAACCAGGATGTTGAGAACCAGGCAGCCATTTCCCTCTTATGGGTTCTTCCAATGATGCCAAGCAAGTAGTTTCATGGTTATCCTCAGGGAAGGGATTGGAGGCACTGAGTATGTATGTAACAATTGTTTTTTGGTAATAAAAGAAACACTTGGGTTATTAACTCATTTCTTTTTTCTTATGTTTGGTGACATTTAACTGGGTAGTGAGGAGATACAGCCACCCAGAAATAGAGCTGAATAATTAGGCTTGTTCCTTTTCATTGATTGGGTTTTTTTTTTTTTTTCCTTTTTTTTCCAGTTTTGTTTTGAACTGTCTTCCTGGTCCCTGCCCCTCTTTTGCTGTAACTTCATGTAATCTCAGAGCATCTGACATTTCCATGGATGCCATAGGCATTTGGCCATGTGTGGGGAGTAATGGTATTATAGAATGGACAAGATTGGGGCTCACCCAAGAAGCTGGAGCAGCTGACCACAGCCATACTCTCTGAGTCTCAGAGTAGGGCAAAGCATCCTGATGAGAATTCAGTGCCTTTAGGGTCAGGGTCCTTTCCTTGTGGGGCTGTGAGCTGAGAAGGAAGCTGGAGGTGGAGTGTGTGTTATGAGAAGCCTCTGTCCTCATCTGTCTGATGACCTCTTTGGGGGAAGAGGACCAGGGTATGGGTGGTGAAATTCATGCAAGATCCCAGGGAAATGAGCCTGGAAATGGAATGGCTCTGCTTGTTGAAAAAAAAAAAGTCAATTCATGTTTCTTCTCCATACTGCCATCTCTCTCTCTCTCTCTTTAAATTTGTTGTTGAGGACATACTGCCGTCTCTTGAAGGGGCTGTCTTAGAGGCAAAGTAAACATCGACATTGACATTATCTTAAAGCCCTTGTTATTTCTTGCCTGAATTCCTTTAGCAGGCTTCTAACTTGTTTCTACTTGCAGTCTGTCTTCCAATTTATATTACCTGTTATTATCAGAACTCTCAAACTCAACTCAGAACTTTATATGGTCCAGTTGTTTGGCCCTGCCTTCCCAGTCTATGGCCTACTGCCCTCTGTGCTGCAGACTAAAAAGTACCATACTAATTTAGGTTTGTTTAGAGACCTGAGTTTCCTCTGTCTGGAATTACTTGCCCACCCATTTGTAGATATGGCAAACAGATCCTCCTTTCAAATATCAGCTCTGGTTACTTCCTTGATAAAGCCTTTGCTGATCCTTTTTCAGGTAATATTGTCTCCTATTTTGAGCTTCCTAAATGTACCTTGGGAGCTCTGGTGGCATAGTGCCTAAGGAATTTGACTGCTAACCGGAAGACTGGTGGTTCAAACCCACCAGCCACTCCTCAGAAGGAAGGTTGGGCAATCTACTTCCATAGTGATACCACCTCGGAAACCCAAGGAGGGGTCACTATGAGTGGATCTGACTTAATGGCAAACACAACAACAGCATGTACCCTGATGGACTTCTATTGCTAAATTGGTATTTCCTCCCCTCCATACTTTTAAGTCCCTTAAAGGTAGGTCCTGAGTTTTATTCATGTTTATATTCTTAGTTCCTGTCTCAGTGTCTGGATTATAGTAGGAGCTCAGTAAAGGACTGATAGAATTAGTGCTAAGAGATTTTTCTTTTCTAATTTTGTAACAGACACATATTGTTTGGTAATAAAACTTAAATTTAGGGCATTTTTCAAAGGCCCAGAAATCCTTTTTTCGTAGCTTCCAAGCCCAAACAAGACCCCAACCAAGGGTAACGGATTCCTAAGAATGGATACAGGAAACTAAGAAGTGGCTAGACCTAAAGTGGTTCTTTATATTTTGGGAGTTTAAGCCTAAGGAACTAATGAAAAATAGACACTTTAATTTCCCCAGGAAAATGCACATTCAGACACATGGTTTTAAGTTGGTTCCTGGACTACTTGAGGACCTGACATTTCCCAGGAAGCTTACAATCCACCTCTACTCTCAGCTGATAAATTGGATAGTTTAGATGAAATGGACCAATTGCTTGAAAGACGATCTACCAAAACTCACACACGAGGAGAAATCTGAGTAAGCCTGTATCTACTGAATTCAATCAATAACGTTCCATAAATGAACCAATCCAACGTGGTGAATTTTACCAAACATTTAAGGAAGAAATACCACTTTTCTGTAATCACTTCCAGAAAACAAGCTGAGGAACACTTCTTAGTCGATGAGGCCAGTATTACTCTAATTCCAAAACCAGATAGGAAGACTACAGACCCATGTCTGATGAACATAGATCCCAAAACCTCAACAATAGTAGTAAATTGAATATGACAGTGTGTTGAAAGAATCACAACCAAGTGGAATTCCAGATAGGTTGGTTCAACATTCAAAAATTAATCTATTAACAGGCTAAAGAAGAAAAGTATGATTGCATCAGTAAATGCAGAAAAAGCATTTGACAAAGTCTAGCACCCATTCATGATAAAAACTTACCAAACCAGGAAGACGGGAACTTCCTCAACTTAGTGTAAAGAACACTGACAAACCTACAGGTACAGTGGTGGGAAACTAGATGCCTTCTTCCTAAGATTGGAAACAAGGCAAAGATGTCCTTTTGCACAACTGTTATTCAACGTTGTACTGTTAAGTCTTAGCTAGTGCAATAAGACAAGAAGAAGCACTACAGATTTAGAAGGGAGAAATAAAACTTTGTTTGCAGATACAATTGCAGAAAATTCCAGAGAATTGACAAAAAATCTAGAACTGTAAGTGATTGTAGCAAGGTTACAGGACAAGATTAACATATAAAAGTCAATTGGTTTCTTATGTAACAGCAATGGACAATTGGAATTTGAAATTATTTACCTTAGTACCAAGAAAATGAACTATATGGTAGAAATCTAACAATGTACAGGATCTATATGAAGAAAGCTACAAAACTTTGATGAAAGAAATCAACATTGTTAAAATGTCAGTTCTTCCCAGCTTAATGTGTACAGTCAATGGAATCCCAATCAAAATCCCAACAAAGTATTTTGTGGATATCAACAAACCAAGTCAAGTTCATATGGGAAGGCAAAAGACCCAAATAAGCCAGCACAGTACTGAAGAACAAACACTACTTGAGTTTAAGACTAGAAATCTACATTAATCAAGACAGGGAGGTATGGTATTGACAAAAAGTAGACAAATTGATCAATGGAACAAAATAGCCAATAGATGGACCCACACAAATAGAGTCAACTGAACTTTGACAAAAGAGGAACTTTGCAGTTCAAAGGAAGAAGGATAATGTTTTTAACAAATAATGCTGAAACAATTTTTGGTAGTTACGTTTATGTGTCATCTTGGCTGGGCCTGGTTGAGTGTCTGGACAGTTGGTGGTAGTTATTCCCCATGATGAGACTGGCAATCAACTCCATGGTGGGATCTACCACAAGCAGCTGAGTAGCTGCCTTCGGGATGTGGTCTGCTTCCTGTATATGAGGAGAAGCCTTGGGAATGGTATCTAGCCTATGGCACGCTTGGACCCTGCATGTAGCCATGTCATTGTTCAGCAGCCTGCTATGCTCTGCCAAACTTGGGACTTATAATGGACTTAATGGCCTGCTGTGTGATTTGGTAACATTGGGACTGTGCCTTTTTACTTGTCAACCTTGGGGCTTCTCAGCCTCAGCAGCCAGGAGCTGTCTGAGTGAAGAAATGCCTCTAGCTCCAGTGGGCTAGGAGGCAGAGCTGGACCCCAAAGTTGAAGGGCTTTCACCCAGCCCCTAGAGCTTGGCACTTTGAACTTGGACTTAAAGCCTCCATATTGTGAGAATAAACTCCTGTTTGTTCAAAGGCCATCCCATTTGTGGTATATTTCTGTCAGAGTGGCACTAGGTAACCAGAACACAATTCACATGCAAAAAAATGAATCTATATTATACAGTTCTTACACTTTTCACAAAAATTAACTCAAGATGGATGTTAGACCCAAATGTAAAGACAAAACTATAAAACTTGTAGAAGATAACATAGAAGAAAATCTAAGTGACTTTGGGTTTGGCAATGAGTTTTTAAATAGAATACCAAAAACAATCATGGAAAAAAAAATTGCTGAATTAGACTTTGTTGAAGTTAACAGTGTCTGCTCTGTGAAAGACACTATTAAGAGGATGAAGAGACAAGCCATGGATTGAGAGAAAATATTTTCCAAAACACATAAAGGACTTGTATCCAAAACATACAACCCACTCACTGCTGTCAAGTGGATTCTGACTCATAGCGACCCCCCTTGGGTTTCTGAGGCTATAAATCTTTGTGGAAATAGGTTGCCCCATCTTCCTTCCATGGAACAACTGGTAGGTTTGAACCACCAACCTTCTGGTTAGCAGCCAAATGCCTTAGACACTTACGCCATCACAGCTCCTTAAAATATACAAAACTCAAAATTCAACAATAAGAAAGCAACCTCATTTTACAATGCTCAAAAGGTCTGGACACCTCACCAAAAAAGATAAATAGATAGCAAATAAACATGAAATACACATAGCAAATAACGTTATGTGTTATTCTAAACCAAACCAAACCTGTTGCCGTCAAGTAGATTCCAATTCATAGCAACCTTGCAGGACAGAGTAGAACTGCTTCATAGGGTTTCCAAGTCTGTGATCTTTATGGAAGCAGACTGCCACATCTTTCTCCCCTGGAGCAACTGGAAGGTTTGAGTTGCCAACGTTGTCTACAGCCATACCACCCTCAATGAGCCCAATCTTGTCTGAATTGCCAACTTCTCAGTTAGCCGCCAGTCGCTTAACCATTGTGCCAGCAGTGCTGCTTATATGTCCTCAGGGAATTGCAAATTAAAACAATGACAAGATGCCACAAAATACATATTAGAATGGCTAAAAGAAAAAAAAAAAAACAAAAAAAACCTGACAATACCAAATGCTGGTGAGAATACAGCAACAGCAGTGCTCATTCATTGCTGGCAGGAATGCAAAATGTTATAATCACTTTGGAAGACTGACAATTTCTTAGCTGAACATACAATCCAATAGTCATGCTCCTGGTGTTTACTTGTTATGGATCAAATTAACCAAACCCACTGCCATTGAGTTGATTCTGACTCATAGTGACCCCCGTTGGGTTTCCCAGGCAGCAGATAATTACAGAAATTGCCCGGTCTTCCTTCCACAAGGTGGCTGGTAGGTTTG